CAGTGGGAGAATCTTGAAAGATTCAGCCCAGAGTGAAACTCCAGGAGTTCTGGGACAGCTCTGCTTTGGAAACCACCCCTGCCAGATTCTGTAGGAACTCGGAACAGGCTGGTTTGAAAGGAGCTGAGAGCCCAGCCTGGCAGAAATGAAGCTGGTCCCATTCACACAGAATCATCAGGGTTGGAAGGGACCTCTAGGGATCATCTAGTCCAATCCCCTCTGCTAAAGCAGGATCCCCTGGAGCACATTACTCAGGACTGCATCTAGGCAGGTCTTAAATGTCTCTAGAGAAGGGGACTCTACAGCCCCCCCAGGCAGCCTGTCCCAGGGCTCTGTCACCCTCACCATAAGGTTCACTTGCTGGTTGCGCACAGCAACAAGTTTTTCACCAGTTTCACGGATGAATGGGCAGGATGTTAGTGTCCAGGCCACCAGGACAGCACTGAAGGCTCCATCCATTCTGGGCTGTGCTGGGAGCTGGGGAAGGGACTGACCCTCCTCTGACTGCCCCTCCCAATTGTCTGTTTCTGCCCCCAGAGAGGAAGCGGTTTTACCAGAACGTGAGCATCTCTCAAGGGGAAGGTGAGTAGAGCTGCTGGGACAGGATGGAGGGTCTGGTTCCTGGGAGAAGCTTTGTCACCCCACGTTGCTTCAGCCAGAGCACAGCACACTTGCACCCCAGGCTGTGCCACTGGGGGATGTTTGTTACCAGCCTCCTGTGCCCCTCCCTCATCTGTAGCGAAACGGCTTCCAGGACCGAGTGTGTCCAGATGATAAGTGGGAAACCCACGGATCTCTGGTCCAGTGCTCCCATCAGCCCTGGCTCTGAATCCACTCCCGCTGTGGAGTTGTTGTTCCTTAGTGCCTGCTCCTCTTTGATTCCCCAGGATTTGTACTCTGATTCCCCAGGAGGCTTTGAAATAAACCTGGACCACCGGAAGCTGAAGACGCCCCAGGCCAAGCTCTTCACTGTCCCCAGTGAGGCCTTGGCCATTGCGGTGGCAACGGAGTGGGACTCCCAGCAGGACACCATCAAGTCCTACACCATGCATCTGGTGAGCACAGCAGGTTGGGACACTGAGACCTTGGTGGGGCAGAACGTGGTGTGTTGGGAGCAGTCAGGTCAAGGAAGTCAGGATTAAAGACAGGTTTCCAAATGTGGAGAGAACGGGTTGTTCTAATGCCTATGGAAACTGGGACAAGAGGTTGGGACTTTGGTTAGGGAAGAACCTTCCAGGTGTGAGGGTGGTTAGAGACTGGCTGGGTGGATCTGTGTCACTGGAGGACTTCAGAAGGAGCTGGACAGTGTTATTTGGGGTAGTGAGGGGCAGGAGGAAAGCAGATGAGCTTTGGAGCAGTTCATGAGCCCTCTCCTCCAAAGTCTTCTCAAGGCAGTAAGAAGATTCCTATGCCAGAAGCCATGTTCTGCCCTTTAGATGCACCCCCGGGTTCTCTGTCTGCCACAAACTCCTCTGCTTCTTCTTGGCCTGGTACAAAGGAAGCTGCTGCTTCCCCAGGCCCCGAGTACCAGCAGTTTCAGGTGCCTTTATCCCACAGACCACGCTGTGCAACACGGCCCTGGACAACCCCACGCAGCGGGACAAAGCACAGCTGATCCGGGCAGCCGTGAAGTTCCTGGAGACAGACACTGTCTGGTATGAGAGAGCGCCCTGCTGGTGCAGAGGAGAAGGTCTCTTCTCACCGTGTGGTTTTTGAAAGGGTGGCTGGGGGAGGTGAGGGAAGGTGTGTGCTGCAACGCAGTCACAGCAGGGCTCTGGTCTGCCCTGGTTTTGGTCCAAGGGTTTGAATTAGCTTAGGTCAGTCTTGTGTCTGCAAATCTGGTGGACATCTCTGTGCTGGGGAAGGGTGGGGGCAGCAAGAAATAAAAAGATCTCCTTGGGAAAAAGAAAACATCTTTGAAAGGCCAGGGGGAATCTGTCAGCCCAGCCCCTGGTTCTCTCTCCTGTGCCAATACAGGCAGCTCAGGTTACTTGTACCAGCAGCAAAATGCCCTTTGTTCTTTAAAGCCCCTGTGGGCTGCAGGATCCAGCCTGCTGATGCCCATGCTCCTGTCCCACAGTCCCAGCCTCCAAGGAGTCCACTGGCAGCTGCTCAGCTCCTGTGGGGAGAGGGGAACAGAATTCCACCATCTCCCACTGTGGCTTTGGCAGCTGGGAGTGCTGAGCTGAGCTGCTGGGCAAGGCGGGGCAGGAGTTGGTCCCATATGGAGAATTCAAGTGGGATAGGGTATGTCCCCTGCTCCAACTGCCAAACCTTGCTGTGACCCGTGGCTGGTTTGGGGCTGCCTGCAATTTCCTGCTGGCCAGTTTGCTGCTCTGTTTTGTAGTAAGATAGAATTGTTCTTCCTGGAACAGCAAAAAGCTCTGAATTCAGGGAAGAGTGATGGGGTTGTTCCTGGTCTCTGCTGTCGCTGTCTGGGTGGACTTGCTGTGGTTCTGGGGAGGGGGCAGCTTCCTTCTCAGAGGTTTGCCCCAGCAGCCTGGGAGTGAACATGCAGTGTGGTTTTGTTCTGCCATGTCCCAGCTATCGTGTGGAGGAGCCACCTGCCCTGGCAGAGCTGCAGAGGAATGAATGGGATCCTGTTGTTGCCTGGGCTGAGAAGAGGTAAGAGGTTAAAGATGTTTCTACTTATGCCCTGTCCTGATGAGGAGCTCCAGAGCTTGTGGCTGTCACAGCTGCATGGTTCATGAGCCTTGTGCTTTTCTAAGGGGCTGGGTGATCGTTCCAGGTACAATGTGACAATTGGCTCCTCAACCAGCATCCTAGGGCCAAACATCCCAGCCAGCACCAAGGAGACCTTTGTCAGCCACCTGGCATCCTACAACATGTGGGCCCTGCAAGGTGAGAGAGCCTGGGGAGATCTTGGTTTCTCTGCATGGGGGAGAAGAGTGACTAATGTTTTTCTTCTCCTGCTGAGATAATCAGAGTGTTGAGGTTTATGTTTTTTAACTCCAGACAAGTCCCTTAGCTGTATTTGTTAAGAGCAGGGACTTCTCCTTAGTGCTACTGGTGTTCAGGGTCTGACTGTGCTGCCCTGTGAGCTCTCTGCTCTACCCTAGCACAAATAATTATTGCCAGGCTCTCTAGTGGCTTAGTCCCCAGCTTTATTACCAGGAAGAGAAATGGGGTTTAGCACTCTGACTGTCCCTGGTTCTTACTCTTTCACCCTTATAGCCCACTTGATCTTACCTTATATTGCTCTATGACACCTAAAGGAATTAAGTAATGTTTGCTGAAGTCTTTAAAGGCAAGACTTGAATAAGTAGCAGACAGTGAAACCCACAGAAGATGGGAGCTGAGCAGCTAAGGGCAGGTATCAGGGACAGGATTCCTGGGACAGGACTTGCAAAGCCTTCCTGCTACCCCTTAAAGATATTCTTTGATGAATCCTTTTCCTTACAGTTTGTGATATGGGTGGGCAGGGTGGAAGGGACAGGCCTCCTTTGCACAGGGCAGGTTTGTGGCAGAATCAAAGGTGTAGCCTGGTCACTGTGGTGACAGAAGAGCACTTTGTGTGACTGTTAACTACAGATCTGACTCTGTAAGTGCCCAGATGCAAGTGGAGGTTTCTCTGTCCCTCAGCAGCTCCTGCAGCCAGGCTGTCTGAGCATGTGAAGATGCTGCGTCTGAGCATGTGAAGATGCTGCAGAAAACAACCATAAATCTTGTTTGTTTTGGGTTATTCCCTTCCAGGTATAGAATATGTAATCACCCAGCTGAAATCTCTGATTCTGTCCATGGGCCTGATTGACAGGCACATCACAGTGGAGAAAGCTGTGCTGCTATCTCGCTTGGAGGAGGAGTACCAGGTAAATGGAGCAGCAGAGCAGCCCCATCATTCAAACAGCAATAATCTCAGCATGATAAATGCATCTCCCACCACAAGTAACTGGCAAGGGAAGTGCCTCCTATTGCAGGAGAGGTTCCACTCTGCCAGCCTCTCCATTTGAGAGGGTTTGGAGTGCTCTGCTGTAGAGCAGCTTCATGGGCACAACAGCCCTGAGTGCTCCTGGGGCTGCCAGCTTCTTTTTGCAGAACCCAGATGGCTGCTTTTTCTCCCTCTCTAATCTGAAGTGCAAAGTCGTGGCTGGCTTCTCCTGCTGTGGGTTACCCAGCCTGGAGGCCTTAGTAGACACCAAGCTAATAACTTCCTTGCTGGAAACTAGCCTGGCGTGAAGCTCTCCCTGATCCCAAAAGTGGCTGAAGTTGATGGGAATCTTTTTGTCCTCCCTTTAAGGGGCTTTGCCTCAGCCCCCAGTGCAGGTGAAGTGTGTCCTTCCACCGAGCTCATCTGCAGATCTCCCTACCCCCCGTAGTCAGTGATCACAGCTCCTGGGGGGAGCTGCGTTTCACAAACATGAAGAGGGAGGCTGGGATTTCCATATAATCCTGTTCTGAGGTGGCTGGTGTTCCTCCTCTCCTCCAGATTCAGCGGTGGGGCAATGTGGAGTGGGCCCACGACTACGACCTGTGCGAGCTACGTGCTCGTGCAGCTGCTGGGACTCTCTTTGTTCACCTCTGCTCAGAGAGCTCAACTGTCAAACACAAGCTGTTGCAGGACTGAGGCTGCTGAGCTGGATGCAGGGGGAAAATGTCCAGCTGTGAACTGCTGGTGTGACCCAGTGGACAGTGACCATCCTCCTGCCACCACATCCTTCCTGGGATCAGCCTCATGCTGAGGAGCTCAACTTTGTGGGCAACTCCTCTCCTGGGCTGCCTGCTGCAGTGCAGTGCCAGCAGTTCTGAGCCCACAAGGAGGAAAGGTCAAGGTGAGCTTCCTCTGCATCCCCAAGACAGCAGCCCTGTCCATTCCTGGTGTCTGTAACTCATCCAAGGAGCTCCCATGAAAGAAACGGCTTCCTGGGCAGGGCGCGGCACAGACATACCCAGCATATGCCACATGTCTTCATAGCTGCCAGCTCCTGACACACACTTGTTATGGAAATCTGAAAACAGACTCTACTGCATCTGTTCTTCATCCCTCAGTGTGCCTGTGTGTAACACCAGGGTCTCTCTGCTTGATTAAAGGCACACCCCTGTGAGATGCTGAAAGCCAATGCTGCTGAGTATTTATTTGTTTTAATCAGCAAAATGTGGGGTAGGTCCCGAGCTGCCTGGCTCCAGGCAGGTGCTGGGAGGGCTGTGGGCAGGAAAAAAGAGAGCAGAGCTAAGCAGACACTTAACTACCAAACAGCTCTGCTCCCTCTGCATCTCTGTGAGCCTCTCCTGTCCTTGCAGCTGAGGAGGAGAAGGGGAGATTTTTGTGCAGTTCTGGAGCAAGAGGGGGGGAACCTGGGCTCCATCTTCAAAAGCAGAGGACACTGGGGAGCTAAATCTGTGTGTGACAGGCAGCACCAGCCATGGGGCTTTCAGAGAGGTGCAGTCTCTGCAGCCACCTTCTCATTTAACCTTCCCACCTCTCTCTCTCCTTGTTGCCTGCCTGGAGCAGCCCTGCCCCAGCTGACATCACTCCTCTGGAGCTGCCCACAAGAGAGCACAGAGCTGCTGCCACCCAGCAAGGAGGGATTGATGTCTCCTCACTCGGCTGTTGGGAGCAGCAGGGTGTGAGATCTGTGGAACCACTGATTTCCCCTCCTGCAGGCTGGGGGCTGCTCTGCTCAGGCTGCAGAAAGCTGCTTTTCCAGAGGCTGTAAGGAGACAAGGCTCCCAGGCAGGCAGAGCCCCTCCCAGCCTTGTGCTTGCTGAGCTGGAATCCTGCAGTTGTGGATTGATGGAGAGAGCTCCTCTCCTGTCCTGCTGCCACCTGCCTGCTCACATGTTCCTGCCCTGGTGCTTCCAGGTACTAAAGCTTTCAGGGCATGATTGTGCTGCCATGATTTGGTTCAATCAGTTCACAGCTGATCTGTAACCCCTTGTGACCAGGACTGAGCTATGTCTACATGGGCTTCAGGCCAAGAGCCAGAGCTTCAGATGCTTTTCCAGAGTCATTAAGTATCTTTTATTTGCAGTTGGTGGAAGAAGGGTGGCTTTGGCCTGAAATGTCCCAGGCAGCTCAGGCATAGAGGCAGTTGTCCATGCTGGGTGTGCTGCTGCCAGGGGTTGTCCTGTGTCTCCCATCTTAGGCAGCTGCCCAGGCTGGTGCAGACCTACTCCAACAGGTCCAGCATCTCCATGGTATGCAGCTCCTCCAGGAGATTGTCAATGTACTGAACAACCTCTTTGACACGGTCGCGGTTTCTGTCGATCTCGTCTTGGAAAGCCTGGACGGATGGAAACCAAGTAGTGCATCCCAGGCTGGTTTGGGCTAGAAGGGACCTTCAAGATCATCTAGATTCCAACCCCCCTGCATGGGCAGGGACACCTCCCACTAGACCAGGTTGCTCCAAGCCCCATCCAACCTGCCCTTGAACACTTCCAGGGATGGGGCAGCCACAGCTTCTCTTGGCAACCTGGGCCAGTGTCTCACCACCCTCACAGGAATGAGTTTCTTCCTAATATATCCTCTAAATCCCCTCTCTTTCAGCTTGAAACCATCCCCCATGGCCTTGTAGAAAGTCCCTTCCCAAATATTCCTGTAGCCCCTTCAGGTACTGGAATCTTCAGCCCTGTCAGGGTCCCTGGAGCACAGAGGGCTCGAGCAAAGGTGAGGGAGCATCTTTCCTAGCAGTGTTCCCATCGCTTGGGCCAGACCTGCCTGTGCCCTCTGCCTCTCAGGGTCTCACCTTCTTCAGGACAGAGCCCTGCCAGCGGTAGGTGCTGCTGCGGATGTCGCTGTCTCTCTTATAAATCCTCCGCAGGCGGATGCTGTGGGACATGTTGAGGGTGTTAACAATGGTGGTTTTGTCCTCGAGAAGCTAGGAGGGAACGTGACAGGATGAGAGGGAGCCCCAGTGAAAGCAGCAGAGCTCAGAACTAGCAGCACAGTGACCACAGTGCTTGGGGGGAGAAAACCAGCCCCTCTTTTCAGACAAAGCCCCGCTCAGCAGGATGAATCCAGCACTTCACCCTTGGCAGGGATGTGTCCCAGCCTCGCTGTGCTGTCATGGGCTGTTATCCCTAGCATGGGTGGGGAAACTGAGGCAGCACTCTTGGCCTCACCTGCTGGGGCAGGAAGAAAATGGCTGCTGCAGGCAGGGCTGCCTGGCAACGCAGGACAGGCTGGTGTTGAAGCAAAACTGCATCTACTCCAGCAGGTCCTGGCCCAGCGGGTGCGGGAAGTAGAAAAATCACACTTGGAAAGGTCTCTGGCACTAGTGGCATTGGCTGTAAATCTTCATTTTTGGAGTGTCCCAGCTCCTAATGGAAGCAGCGACTTCCCTGGTGGCTCTAAAGGGAGGGTGGCTCTGCTAAAGGGTAATGACTCTCCTCCTGCAGCCAAGTGCAGCTGTTGAACAAATGAAGATTGCTCCTCCGTGGAGATGGATGGATGGATGGCAGCGAGGAGCAGGGCACAGCTGCAGCCATCTGCAGGGCTGGAGCAGCCCTGAGGCCCAGGGGTCTGGTCTGTGTCTGTCAGCTCTCCATGACCTGCAGTACTGGGGGGCTGGGGTAATCCTGGCAGAGCAAAACCACAGTGAATGCAAAACTCAAGTCATTTAGCCACTAAATGGAGGAATAAGGGAGAGGAAAAGGTCAGCAGCAGTGCTGACTGGAGCCCTGCAATGATCTCTCTGCTTGCTGAAAGGCTCCTGAGACCTTTGCTATCACAACAAGACTGAGGGCACAGTGGAAGGGGCCATCTGAAATGTCACGTCCTGCCTCCAGATCAGCCCAAGGGCTGGGGAGCTCCAGGAAGGGCTTTTGAAATCATGAAGGGCAAACAGAGCCCTGGCACAAGGAAGTCAGCGCGGTGTGTGGGTGCTCCTGGGGGAGCAGGGAGAATCTGAACAGATTGTGCCAGGGGGCTGGGGCTGTCTGGAAATCAGCCAGACATGGAAGTTGTGCTGGAGGCAGGAGAGAGATTTGCTCAGCACCTCTCCTGGGCTGCTGCCACCAGCTCCAGCAGCTCCAGGGAAACCTGCAGTGCAGTTTCCCTCTGTCCTCATCAGCAGAGATGCCTGGTGGCACTGCGGGTCAGCCAAGCTCCTGGGGCCTCTCAAAAGGAGGTTGTGCTCTGGTTTAGCCATGGCTCTAGGGGTGCTGAGGCTCCTGGAAAACCCCTTCCTTCTGAGAAGAGACTGTGGCCTCCTCTTCTTGCCAGCTCCCTTAGCAGAGATGAATTTTTTGGTGCCCTCACCTCTCGGACACCAGCTGGCAAATCCTCTTCAAGCTCATTCCTGGCTGATTTCTCCAGCATGGTGATGCAGATCTCCAGCAGCTTTTCATGGTGCTGGTTTTCCAGGTCCTGGCACTGGATCATGGTACAGGAGATGGTTAAGGAAAAAGTGACCCCATCAAAGGAGATTCAGTGTCCTCCTGTAAGGAGAGACTGAGCATCCAGAGTGTGCTGCTGCAGGGAAGAGCCTGGCTGCTGCCAGAAGCTGCTGTGGTGTCAGGATCTTCACTTTCTGCTCTGAATCCCAGCTCACACACATCAGCTCTCATCCTCACTGCAATAAATTATGCAGAACTGAGAGGTTTGCAAAGGAAATTAAGGGAAGCCTCCCAGGATATAAGCAAAGTTCTACATATGGTGCAATTATTTGCAGCAGGCCAACAGATGTATATATTTAAGTAGTGTAACCTGTCACAGGAACACTTGAATATTCTCATCTCCCTTTGTTCCAGAAGACATTAACAACACAAAAGAGCATTTAAAGAAACTTCAGCAAGAATTGTAGGTATTTCCTCAGCTGCTATGGCAAAAATGGACATAGAAACAGTCTAACCAGATCTTCCTAGGGCTGTATCATGGATTTCTGGAGAAGGAAGATTCCCAAGGGGGAAAAACCTGCCTAAGTCCTACAGACTTTCAGCACAGAACTCAGATCCTTTTGTGCTCTCCTGAGTCTCCAAAGGGGGAAGCTGGGCAGCTTAAATGATCATTCCTGCAAAGTTGGGAAAAGCCATTTTCTGTTGATTAAAAAGCAATAAACCCACCAAATTCTATACTAATGGCTCATTTCTGGATTCAGAGGGGCAAGATACATACCTGCCTGGGAGGTCCAGGCCAACACACTGTCCAAAGGATATAACTCTTTAACATTTTCAATGAATGTTGATACTAAGGCAGCAAGGTTTTCTCCAAACTCTGTTATTAGCTCCTTAAGAGAGGGAAAGAAAGGAAATATTACAATCACACCTTGCATGAACACAAAAAGGAGGCAGGGAGTCTGGGAAGAATCTAGGACTGATTATAATTTGGACTCACTGCTGTTATTAGCACAGTCAGACACAGAACTGCCTCAAGCATTTAGAGTGTTTTGAAAAGGCTGTGAGGTTTTGTTTCCTCCTTCAGGGAGAGAAAATCAGGATCAGTTTATGGAAGGGAAGCTGACTGCATGATTCCTTTACCCAGTGTTTGCAGCAAGACACCTCATCCTTTTTCACCCTCACCTAAGCAGTGCAGGGAGGGTGCTGTGCTCCTGTGCACTGCAGCCTCCTGGTACATATGAAGAGCCTCTTGTTGGAAGCACAACCAGTGCCTGGGCTTCCTGCAGCTTTTGTTTTAGTCCTCTGAAACTCCAGTTGCTCCTATTGCCTCCCTCAAAAATGGTTGATGGAGAAATCTGTGAAGTTTTGCACTTAGATGTCTTGATAGTACAGATCAACCCCAGCCACCTGAATCCTGCAGCTCCAGAAGGGCACACAGGGAGGAAGGTTCCTGCTCATTGCATCAGGAAATACAGATACACAAGGACCAATTCAGAAAACACCAAAAGGCAGAATCCTGATGCAGAGAGGAATCCATTTTGAGCTGCTGCCTTCTGCCACACATTCACAGGAGTGAGCTGCTGCATCTGCTCATGCTCAGGCCCCAGCTCCTGCCTGCTGATTTTTAAACAGCTTCTTTATTTATTTTTGAATGAAGATGCACATTAGCAGCCCTGCCCTAGTTTCTTGAGCAAAAGTCTGGGGAGGAAAAAAAAAAAAAAAAGGCAGCTATTCCACAAGGAAAGGCAGTCAGGTGAGCAGGGATGTGTGTGATCTTATTCATAGCAGAGAACAGCTTCAAATAATTCCCCAGGCTGCCCCATGCCATGCAGCCACTCCTGCATGCAGACCTCTAAAAGGATGGAATGACCTCAAGTCCCTTTCTCTAAAGTCCAAGGAATCAGCTTGGATAGATGGAAAGGATGTGCTGTGCTGTGCTCTGCTCTGAGAAACAGGAGTGTGTTGGAATGGATCAATATCCAGGGCCTGATCTCATCCAGATCAACTATGAGCAGAGAAAGAATCAGATGGAGACAAAACAGCCTGACTGGAAGAGCTGTGTGCAATGGGCTACTCGAGAGAGGGCTGTGGCAACAGGAAAATGACCCCCTGGGCTCTGGATGTGAGGTCTCACAGGGATGTGCTTGGCCCTTACCTCCACCTGGTCAGTTAGCTGCACTTCCAAGGTCATGAGAACTTCTGAGAGCTGCAATATCTCCTCCTTGTACTCAGCTCGTTTGGATGCAACAAGATCCTGATTCCTGGTATTATCAATCTCATCCAGCCTCTACACACAGAGATACATAAATTACTGACAGTTTGTGTTCAGAAGTCCATTGCCATTTAATTAACTTGTTACATATGTGAGAAAAGTTCCTGCTTGCTGATAAGCTGGAATGAAACGTGATGATTCAGGAAATCTTCAGATTTACACACTGGGGAGTCACCAGTGCTGAGGTGTGTGACTGTGCTAACCATCCAGGGGCAGTGCAGAGAAATCCCTGGAAATGCTTCCTCATCCTCCACTCAGCAGGAGACTTTGCCCCCTCCTATGCTTCCAACTTGGGTTCCCCTTCTGACACTTTTCAAATAAAAAAATAAATATTAGGTCTTTGACACTGCTGGCCATGAAGGAGAGATGAACAATTATTTGTGGAAAGAAATGCAGGCCTAAATCATCTTCCCATCCCTTAAGTGTTCAAGGTCAGATTGGATGGGGCTTGGAGCAACCTGGTCTAGTGGGAGGTGTCCCTGCCCATGCAGGGGGTTGGGACTGGATGATCTTTAAGGTCCTTTCCAAGCCAAACCAGTCTGGGATTCTATGATACTAAATCCTGATCCTCTTCCTTTCAAGGAGAATCTCAATTGACTTCCACAGGGCCAGGATTTAGGATTCTGAATATGGAATACCTATCATGGCCTGCCTTCCTCTTACTGCAAGGATTTATTCCCCTTCAGAATCAAATATTGACATCAGTTTTGTATCAGACAAGAGTTATGAGTTCTTGGATCAAAAGAAATCCTTTCGTGCTGAGCGACGTGTTAATTCCAAGTTGGTTCAAAATAAGTTAACAATCAAAGTTAATAGGAAGAAAAAATATGTATGTTTTAAGATGTATAATCCACTTCTGAGAGGGAACAGGACAAAACAGAATTCTGACCAAATTAATGGCCAAGTCTCATGTCTGAAAATGAACTAGGTTACCTAAACTGCACTGTTAACAGGGGGGAAGGGGAGAGCAAGGTGTCTTCTTTTCTAACATAAACAAGTGAGGAGGATCCATGACCTGCCCAGCCATTCCATTCCAGCCCCACCTCTGGGAGCAATAACTTCACAGTGCAAGGCCTTTAGTGCTTCTTTGCTCCTGAAGCAACTTTTAGAGAGCAGAGCTGGTTTACAGGTTGCCCAGGCTCACACCAAAGGGTCACAGGGAAACAAATGGCCCCTAAGAATGATTCACGGATTTCAGGCTGCTGGGACCTCTGAGCCTTCTGAGTTGCACCAGACATTTTAAATGAATGGAGAAATGCTGTTAAAATAAGAGTTTGGACACCAAGTCCCCTGGTATTTGTATAAAAATGGAAGTACCAAAGAAAATAAATAATTAAAACCACAAAACAACCCAGAAAGGCACAGAGTGCTCAGTGTGTGTCCTGTTTTTGCAGCTCAACCTGTAGCTGAGCCTGCAAGTCATGGGACAAAGATGAAGGCCCCAAATCTGCCTTGACTTTGATTTTGGGGTGGTTTTTGTAATTATTTATATTTTTTTGCTTTTAGAAAAACCAAAGGAAGATAGTTGGGAATTCAAGTGCAAATGAATTGAATATACATCTTAATTTGCAGGTGTTTCCTTCTGCTAAGGCTGCAAACTGGTGTCCCAACTGATGTCTGCCATGAGTCAGCAGGTTCAAGGACCCAGGCACAGTGACTCAGCAGGTTGGCAGCCTGTGACAAGGGACCTGAATACAAGTGACCTGGTTTGCAAAGGGAGCCAGGGCTCGTGACTCTGCCTGGTGTCAGTTGTCAGGGCCTTGCTCTGCTCAGCTGACTGTCACCAGCCTCTGCCCTCCCTTTCATTTTTTTTCCCTGTGGAAACAGAATCATGATCCATCTATTATGCACAGTCAGAAAGGGACCCAGCTAGAAGCTACAGCCCTGGCAGCTACAATGGGTGGCTGCAGTTGAGCAGAATGAAAAAAAAAATATGACAGTTTCTGCTTTAAAAAGACTAGAGATACATTGCAATAACTTTATCTAGTTTTTTTTTGTTTAAGTTCTTTGAGCTGTTGTTGACAAAATGAACTGAAGCAGAAAATCACTTGAAAACAAACCTTTACCTTTGTGGACCACACTCTGATGTGTTAATTTTGTCCTACTCTGAATTTCCAGTATAAAGGCTGTCAGTGTTAGATGGTTGTGGTTTGCCCAAAGGGTTGAAATGTCAAATCTGAAAATCTAGAAAACTTTTAGCATTATGTGAATGACTTTACATGAGCTGGCACAACAGTTTTGCTCAGTATAGATTTATACTGTAAGAAATCTGTAAAGAAAGGTGAGTGACTGAGCACTGGGAAGGGTTGCCCAGAGAGGCTGTGGAGTCTCCATCCTTGGAGATATTCAAAGGCCTCTGGAAATGGTCCCTGCAGCCTGTTGTGGGTGGCCCTGGGGGGTCACCTGGCTCCCAGGGGACCAGAATCCTGAGTAATTTTCCTAATTTTCATGGAGTTACCCTTGTTCTCAGTGAAGCTAAAAGCTGGCATATGATGTAGAGAAATCATGTATCACACAAAAGAAAACCAACATTACCCTTTTGCTGTCATTTTCAAAGTCTAGGATTATTTTCTTGCCTTCTTGCTGGTTGGCTGTTAGTACTTTCTGGAGTCTTCCATGGAAATTGGAGACTTCAGCTTCTCTTTTTTCATACTCCTTCAAACCAATGTTAAACAGGTTCTTACAAACTAAGACAAACTCCTTTCTGTATGTGACACCAGTCAAGGTATTTTCTTTGTCCAGTGGAGCAACGTGCAACGTCCCTTTTACGTCTGCAAATCTGAGCAACCAGAGTTATGAGGTACCACCATGTCAACTCCATGGTCCTTGTTGGGAGCAGCTGCCAAGTTTTCTGTCTGTGGCAGGGGTAGGGGACATTTTACACACAGGATTTTGCTGCCTTAAGGGTATGGAGAAAGCTGTGGCAACTTGAGGGGGAGTGAAAGGCCTTGAGGAACTAAAAATAAGGAAATACACTTCTCTAACTCCTTTCTGACACAGCAGTGGGATGGCTGCTCTCTGCACTCTCCTGAGACCCCACCTGCAGCACTGTGTCCTGTTCTGGAGCCCTCAACACAGGAAGGTCATAGAGATATTGCAGTGAGTCTGGACGAGGCTGCAAAGATGATCTGAGGGCTGGGGCAGCTCTGCTCTGGAGACAGGCAGAGAGAGTTGGGGCTGTTCGCCCTGGAGAAGGCTCTGGGAGGACCTTAGAGCACCTTCCAGCGCCTGAAAGGGCTCCAGGAAAGCTGGGGAGGGACTTTGGACATGGGCAGGGAGTGTTAAGTCAAGGGTGAATGGTTTTAAACTGGAAGAGGGGAGATTTAGATTGGACATTAGGAGGAAATTCTTGGCTGTGAGGGTGGTGAGAGCCTGGCCCAGATTGCCCAGAGAAGCTGTGGCTGCCCCATCCCTGGCAGTGTTGAAGGGCAGGTTGGATGGGTCTTGGAGCAGCCTGGGCTGGTGGGAGGTGTCCCTGCCCATAGCAGGGAGTTGAAACTGGATGATCTTTAAGATCCCTTCCAACCCAAACCAGTCTGGGATTCTATGAAGCACACAACCCTATCTGTCTTCACAAGTGTGAATGCAGTGCTTGAGTAGTTAATAAATGCAGCTCTGGAGCCTATAGCCAGAGCACAGAATAAACTACTGACTTGGTAGCATCACAAAAATAATGTCAATTTTTCTTCTGCTATTATCTTGACAAAGGAATTGTTTCTGGAGTCTATAGTAGTTAAGCTGTGATGCATTTTCCCCCTGCAGTGTAATGCAATTTTAAGGAAGGTCAAGTTACTGGCCTTGACAATGTTCTATTCATCTGAATGAGAAAAGAAAAAAGACACCCCCCCAAAAAAAAAAGTGTCTGCTGGCCTGAAAACCTCCCATTGCCAGCCCAGGCAGGTTGTGAGAGATGAAACTCGTATCACCCTGATGAGGCTGTTCCTGTTCCATTTCAACATGATTTTGCACCCTGCTCTGACAATCAAGCTGACAGATTTATCTTGTGGCTCATTTTAAACTTCAAGTGGATTCCAGACTCCAGGAAAGTATAAAGCCTTGATTCCTCAAGGGTCAGAAAAGAAGGCTAGGAAATGGTGCTGGGTTCAAATGAAGGAAAAGGATTTGGTGGTTATGAGGGTGAGAATTTATCATGCTGGAATCTCATGACCTGTTGGTGATGGGAATGAGTGGTTTTTACACATGGGATGTTTCAAGCTGGGTTGGCCAGCTCACCAGTAATATAAACCCTTTGTAGCCCTCATATTTCATGAGATATCAGGCCTAAAAGCTATCAGTGGTCTCAGGGTCTTGCAATGATTTTTTGGGTACTGTTCCAAAACTGAACAGAAACCATCTTGTTCAGCCCTGGAACAAAAGCAACGGATGAAGAGTCCCTGTGGATGCACCTGCTGGGCTCAGGGCATTGCCTTGGCAGTAGGTTTTAACCCCAGGAAGGATATGCCTGCAGCAGCTCAGCCACTTCAGGGAGGTCAGCCAGTGTGGCAGTTTCTGTATCCTCTGCAAACAAGTGGTCAAACAGGAACGATCCGTTCAGGTACTCAACAAACGCCGTCTTTGGAGAGAACAGAGCAACAGGTGTCAAATAAACAGTGTCAACCTCCTGCCAGCCCTCAGGATGTGTCTCCTGTGACCTGCAGGGGAGCAGGGGTGCAGACACAGTGATACCAACACAACAGATGCACCAACCAAGGCATCAAACCATGGCAGGGGGCTTGGAGCTGGAGGATCTTTAAAGTCCCTTCCAACCCAAAGTGCTGTCTGATTGTGCCAGGGGAGGTTTGGATTGGGTATCAGGAACAATTTATTTCCCCAAAGGATTGTCAGGCCCTGGCATGGACTGCCCAGGGAACTGGTGGCATCACCATCCCTGGAGGGATTTAAAAGCCATGTAGATGTGGTGCTGAGGGACATAGGTCAGTGGTGGCCTTGGCAGTGCTGGATTAATCGTTGGACCTGCTGACCTTAAAGGTTTTTTCCAACCAAAACAATTCTTTGATTGTATGAAAGCCCCCTGCAACTGTAGTGAAAACCACCCTCGTTCTCACATGGCTTTGCTGCTAGAACTCTGTATCCTAAAGACAGAAAACACCATTTTATCCACTATAAAACATTGTCCCATACAGGCTATTGAGTCTTTTCAATAAGGAGCCAGTGGACTTTGGGAAGGGCTGGAGGGAAGAGCTGCAGGTGTCCTCCTAGTCACTCAACCCTGCTCTTCAGCAGGTTTGATCTTTCAGAGGGCTGGAACAATGAGTCAGACCATGACTGAAAGCACCATTCTGCCTGCTCTTGTTCTCAGTCTGCTCACAGGGCTGCAGCCATCTCTGAAAACCCTGAAGAATTTAACCATAAAACTAATGAAAAGCATTAGCTTAGTGTGAAGGAGAAAAAACAAGTCAGTGCAGCATGAAAATGCCAACAGCTCCCTCAGACCTGTGATTTTCTTAATCTCTTGTCAGGCTGATAAGATCCTTGGGTATGATTTACTGTTTGGTTTTGCAGGGTCCATATCTGTAATTTCATTGTTCAGGCAAAAGAATGATGTCCCCCTATGTCATGTGTATTCCACAGCAGCTCCTCTTTTCATTCCAAAAATGAGATTTGGAGATCACAGAGATTAATCCCAGCCTTAGTTTTAGAACAGTCGATGTTAACCTCTCATTAAATCTTCAAGCAGGTAAAAGAGGAGTCAATATCTGTTGTGCTTCTTTCTCCCAAGACAATAGACAGCCAGGCAAACAGAACACACCTGGTGGTATTCCAGCTCTTTCTGCTTGGCCTGTTTTTCCTCCAGCTGAGCCAGGGCCTCAGCCTCCTCCTGTTTCAGCTCCTCAATGCGATCATGATACTTAAAATCTGCAGCTTCTCGCTGAGAAATAGAGAGGAGTCAAATATTAGATTATCCAGTTTTAGTCAACAAGTCTGGGCATAAGGATTCAGTTTTTCTAGAAGATGCACCTGAGTGACAGCTGCCTCTCCATTTCTTTCTGGGCTTTTTTATTAAACTACCTTTGAAATCTCTAACTCACTCCCCATCCCAGTTTCTGCTGGCATTTTGCTCTGACTCTGCACTCAGTCCATCTGAGCTGATCCAGTCCCAGGAAACTTTCCTCTCCCCATTTCCTCATCCTTAGGGTTGTTTTTTCCTTTTTTTAGCAGGAGACCCCATTTTGACTTCTAGAATTTCAGCTTAGATTTATTTGTTCAGTTACCAAGTTTAATACATTTACTAGGGAGAGGAAAGCTCTTCTGAGGAGTGAATGGCAGGGTAGTGACAGGGGCAAGAACCCCTGAAGCTGAAGCCTGACAAGAGTGGGAAGTGCACCCAATGGCACCTCTTGCCTAGATTCCATCACTGCACTATGGAAACAAACTGCTCAGTGAGCAGGAGGACACCAAGCCTCCTTCCCCTGGGATCCATCCTTCCAGGCTGATCTCCTCTGAGATTTCCTGCTCTCTAAGGAGGCTCCCACTCAACTGCAGCCTCCCCGTGGCAGGATTACCTAGGCCCCTCTCCCCCACACTGATTTTCCCAAAAGCTGGGAAGGCATCATGGCTCTGCCACCTCTGCCTCTGTTACATCTGATGGAATTTGGCCTGCAGGTTCACAGCTGCTCTGCTGAGGCTAACTAAACACTCCACATTTCTATAAACCTAATTCCTGCAGGGAACCAGCCCCAAATGCTAGAAAATTGCTGGCACACCAAGAAAGCAAATGATCTGCAAGAGGCTGGAGCTCCACTTTCCCAAGCAGGGAATGTAGAAGCACTTACCGTGGTGTCATGCACAAGCTTGAAATCCAAATACAGCAGGTCTGGGAGGTGAGCAACAACAAAGAGCTGGTACTTCTCATCCTGGCAAAGAGGGTTCCCCGACAGATTCAGCGAGCGTAAGTGTTTAAACCTCCTGAGATAGGTCACCTACAGCCCAGGGAAAGAGATTCTGTGCTTCCAGGGCTGGGAGATACACCCAGCCTTGAAATGTGTTGCTTTGTTTTTACAGTTAGGTTGCAATACGTGTCCTGCTCTGCTGCCAAACAGGCAACATCAAATTACAGGTTTCTAACCCTTTCAGAAAAGGAAATAATTAAATTCACAGTGTGATTATATCCAGGAGGGGTGTAGGGAGAAGGCCTTTAGCTGAGGTGGAGAAATCCCAGCTCTTGGGTTAGTAAAGTGCCCTCAGAAGAACCCCAAATAAATCCTAGTCTCCTCTCCCTCCTTTTCTCATATGTTGCTACTTATTCCTTGTCCAGCTTTCCTGGGAACCCACAGGAATTCTGCCATGGCTGAAAGCAGTAACAGAACAGGTCCCTGTGAGTCAATAATCCCACAGAAATAGCTGCAGTAAGCACTTAACAGCAGGACAGCTCATCAAAATCTCAAACTACAGAGGCGGTGAAATCCTAAGGACAATTTCCTCCTCTAAAGAGGAACTGGGACACGTTGGCAAATGTCAGATTTAGAATATTTGAACCTTTGACAGGAGAACTCACATCTTCCAGAACAGCCAGGTTGTTCTTCCCAATGGAGAAAACCTGCAGCTCTTGCAATGTGTCCATGTGTTCCATTTTAGATATTTTGTTACTGTAGAGACTGAGGTCCTGCAGCTTGACAAGGGTGTCCAGGCCCTCAATTACTTCAATATTGTTAAAGGACAAGTCTGGGGAAGAGTATAAAAACCAAATGTTTTACAGGCAAAAGTAAAAAAAGTAGAATTCTCTCTTGTAGAACCTGTATTTAGCCTGGTTCTTGACTGAGGAGTTCACATGCAGTCTTTTCCTCAGGGGTGTTCAGTGTCCCACAGGAAAGGCTTGGCATTAAATCATCATTCAGGGGTAAGTCACCTCCAATTATTTGATTTAGAGAATAATTTGGCTTTTAAATATTCCTAGAAGTTAACTCTTCTGCCCCTTCTTCTCACCTATGGATTTCCAGTAAAGTAATGAGGTGCCCAGTGCCCTGGTTGATGGTTGGACTCGATGATCTTGAAGGTCTTTTCCAAGCTAAATGACTCTGACAAATCTGACACTCCCTGTCTTGTTTCTTGCAGACTCTTGCTGGCCACACCAATGCCCACAGTCATGGGCATTCCCACAGTACCAACACATGCCAGTCCCATGCTCCCTGTTGCCAGGGGAGGTAGGCAAAGGCATGTTACTCACTTCAGCTATTTCACTCCTTGAAATTTCCTCTTATCCAGCCAGAACATCTATCCTAACAGCTACATTCATCATGACTAAGGCCAGGATTTGCCCTCAGGCCAGTACTGAATGATTCAGGAGCCCCAAACCAGTTGATGAGGTTACCAGCTCCCTGCACCCCAGCCCTAGGATGGCACTGCTGACCCACCATGGCCTGTGGGCAAATGAAACCCATGAGGGTGCTTCAAACCACTCTGATCCATGGTGGTGGTCAGCTGTTGGTTCAAAAGGACATTAGTCATCTATGCAGCAGAAGGTGCAGAAGAACAAATGGAAGAAACCACTGGACTCTTCAAGCTGTGCTTAGGAACTGAAGCCCCATTTGCTTTTCTCAGGGGTGGCTGAGGATGTATTTACCCTGCCAGCCAGAAACGTGGCTGCAGTTCCCAGAGAATGCTCCAAGCCATGAAGCTGCAGCAGCAAACTCACCAATCTGCCCAGCATCCAAACCTGCACCCCTGTGTGAAGCTGCTATCAGAATGCCAAGTTTTAGTTAAAAAGGAGTCACTTGAGACTATAAGGATGGGCACTTCTTGGGACAACAACAACAAATCCTTCTGTAAAGGTACAATTGCCTTTAAAGGGTTCCAGTTTGCAAAACACCTACATTCCCTTTGAAAACAAAATGCAGGCTTCTAAATCACAGAGGTGTATCCCTAAGAATTGTTGGAAGTCACCTCCAAATACAAGTACAATCCCTGGAAACAACCACAAAAACTCAGCTTCCTGTTCCTTTTAATACCAAAGGGATTAAAACCTGTTTTGAAATGTTCAAGGACAGGTTTGCAGCTCTGACAGGCATCTTGACATTTGACAGTCAAATGAGGAAACACAGGGACAGCTGACAGCCTTCCCTGGGAAAGTTCCTCTCAGTGTTGGAGGAGGAATGTGACATCCTGGCTCTAGCACAGACAGCAGCTTTGTGCCTGCAAAAGCATCAGCCTCATCTGCCTGGATCTTACCCAGCCACACCAGGTGAACCAGAGTCTCCAGAGCTTCAATCTTCTCAATGATGTTGTTGTCCAGCTGCAGTTTTGTCAGACTCTCAAACTGCCACATATTATCAATGTGCAGGATATCTAAAACCACGGCGGGAAAAAAAAACAGGCAAACAAACAACAAACCAGACTTGATTTTCATGTGAGACAGCTTTCAGTTTAGTGGACATGCTATCTTGCACATGGAAAACATGTCCAGCCTTCTCTCCAAGGTGATTTTCAGCAGATAACAACAGCATGTGATGGCTCCTCTGGAGAGCTGAGAGGTCCTCTGGCTGGGTGAGAGTTCAGTCAAAAACCCAGGTAACCTCCACGTCCTGCCCCAGCACACACTGTTCCTCAGCCATGGCAAGGAGCCCATCAGGAGCTGCTGACCACAGGCTGCAGGCAGGAGGGGCTTTAGGAATCCACTATGGGAGGAATTGACCTTCATTTTCCTTTCTGGCTCCAAGCAGGAGGTTTGGGATGAGACTCAGATTCTCTCCACACTTGCAGGCCAGCAGTGGCCAGCTGCTGCTTTGGAAAATTCCTCTCCTGCTCCTGGGATTCTCATCACAGGCAAGCAAGGAAGGATCTACTCTGTGTGTGAAAGCTGCAGTTTAGAGCTAATCAATATCCCTGCATTTAGCTTTCTCCAAAACCAGAGTCACAAGTGCAAGCCATCAGGCACCACTGCAAAACACTGGGGCCAAGGTGACAGAAAATGCAGGACATTCTCCCTCCTCAATCTCCCCCTGCAACAGCTTCCCAGCAGATCTCGTTAGCTGCTCTGCTGCTATCCTTAATTAATGAGTGCAGAGCAAAGCAAGGAATTGCACAAACAAAATATTCACACAGCTGTGTCTTGTATTTGCTGACAAACCCGTGCAGGATCAGGTAACGGGGGCTGTTCTAAGGAACATAAACTTGCATCATGTTCCTGAAGCACACAATGAATAATCAAAAGCAGCTTTTTGCCCATGAAATGCCATACCCCCCCCAATACTCACATATTGACCCAAATGCTCTTCCTTTTCATTTTTTGAATGCAAGTTTATGACTGTTTTGACAGTAGAAGGCAAGCTGGGATAATGCTACAGATGACCAGAGGAAGCCACCAAATTGGGCTGTAATCACCATCATCTCCCAAACAGCTCTCACATCATCACCAGCCATGGCAGAACCTGCCCAGGGTTTGATTTGTCCTCCCACCGAAGGGCTCAACAGGCCGCTGGCCTGTAGGTGTCCCCACAATATAAACGTTAAGAACAGCAGTGATAATAAAGGCTTAAAGTCACCCCATCAGCACAAGCACCCGGCTCTCACTAGTGAAACTGCTTCACACAGGTAGGACTGCAAATCCAAGTCCAGACACTGCTTTTCACATAATAAATGCAAGCTAATTATGATTGTTTAATTGCCAATTAGCCCCTTCGTGCTGAATTCTATTACTCTCTAACAAAAGAAGAAGAAAAAAGTGTATTTCCTGATACTCACTTCTAAAACTAAGATGTAGCTCTGTCACCTCCTTGAAGTTAATACCATCTATCTTGGCGAGCTCCCTGAGGTCCTCTGGATACTCCCCTTCAATGGCTTTCTGAACCATTTCGTCATCAATAACATTTGGCTCGATGCTGTTGGGTAACTGGCTCATTTTCAGTCAGTTTCAGGCTGAAAGGACAGAGGAGAAAAAGAAATAAAATCACTGCCTGGCTACCATTGCCAACATTCATTGAAGGGGAGTGACAGTTCCAAGGCATTAAGAGCAGAACATTAAGGAGATCAAACACTCCACAGCTGGTAGCAATGACAGACTTGACTTTTATCACAAAGTCACTAATGTGGCTCCAGAGCTGTGAAATGGCTGGGCACCATCACCTGCCAACTTCACACCACATTTGAGTGTTTTCCATGAAGAAAGCCAGGATTTGGCCAGATAAATAGACCAGGAAAGGAGGTGTTTGAACAGTAATGACCCACTGCATGGTAATCACCTATTGCTGAAGCCCATCTTCATGACAAGGGTGTATTCATGGCTCTGTGGGCTATTTAATCTACTTTTAAAAGGTAAGTTTCTCAGTATGGGCCGGTTTGATTTAGAGTGAAGCATGTACTTATAACCTGGGAAACTTAACAACAGCAGTTTGATGAATTCTCAACAGCAACATCATAATAAAAGTGAAAACAAACTTGAGGAAGGAGGAAAAATTACAAACAATAACAGTGATTTTTTTGAAGGAGGCAATTAATGCAGATCCATAGTAAAGGCCACCTAGTTCCGTTGATGTTTAGCACTGCACCCAAACACCTGGGAAACAGACATTTCTGACAGTCAAAACTTTCTGTTCTGGCTTTGTCATGTAAATATTCCCAGTGTTACCCAGGAGGCAATGAGATAACTTATTTCTCTAGAACTGTGCACAGCTAATGAATTATAGGTACAGAGCGTACAGTCCCAGATTGCTTTGGGTTGGAAGGGACCTTAAAGATCATCCAGTCCCAACCCCCTGCATGGGCAGGGACACCTCCCATCCGCCCAGGCTGCTCCAAGCCCCATCCAACCTGCCCTTCAACACTGCCAGGGATGGGGCAGCCACAGCTTCCCTGGGCAACCTGGGCCAGGGTCTCACAGGAAAGAATTTCTTCCTAATATCGTATCTAAATCTCCCCTCTTTTACTTTAAAACTGTTACTCCTTGTCCTGTCACTACATGCCTTTAAGAAGTCCCTCTCCAACTTTCTTGTCAGTATGAAGGGCCTGCATCATCAAACTTTTGCTTGTGTAAAATGTCTATAATCATGGAAGAAGTTCTGCTGACTTTTTTGCATAGGAGAACAGGAGGGACAAACGTCTGTGTTTAGAATTTTCTCCTTGTCGTGTCTTTTAATTAACAATCCAGACCTCTCCATGGTGTGCTCAGTTAGACCACGGAGTAGCAGGTTCTGGGTTTATTCATCCTTGACCTGCCAGACTTTCCTCTTCCTTTGTATTTGTCTATCGTTTCTTTGGGCCCTGGCGGGGCAGCGGGTCTGTCACCCAGACAAGAAGCTGCTGCTCAGAGCCCCGGGCCTGGGAAGCAGCGCCACGACCCCGACACCCCCCGGCCCTGCAGGGGACAGGACTCCAGCCTCTGCCTGCAGTAAGCTGCGGCCTTCCCCGCCCGGCCCTCAGGCCTCTTACCGGCCCTCACGCCTCTTCCCGCCTCCGCGCCCCCGGTACCGGCCCGGTTGCTAAGGAAGCCCAGGAGCGTTGCTAGGGTGTGCCCACATCATCACCAGCCATGGCAGAACCTGCCCAGGGTTTGATTTGTCCTCCCACCGAAGGGCTCAACAGGCCGCTGGCCTGTAGGTGTCCCCACAATATAAACGTTAAGAACAGCAGTGATAATAAAGGCTTAAAGTCACCCCATCAGCACAAGCACCCGGCTCTCACTAGTGAAACTGCTTCACACAGGTAGGACTGCAAATCCAAGTCCAGACACTGCTTTTCACATAATAAATGCAAGCTAATTATGATTGTTTAATTTCCAATTAGCCCCTTCGTGCTGAATTCTATTACTCTCTAACAAAAGAAGAAGAAAAAAGTGTATTTCCTGATACTCACTTCTAAAACTAAGATGTAGCTCTGTCACCTCCTTAAAGTTAATACCATCTATCTTGGCGAGCTCCCTGAGGTCCTCTGGATACTCCCCTTCAATGGCTTTCTGAACCATTTCGTCATCAATAACATTTGGCTCGATGCTGTTGGGTAACTGGCCCATTTTCAGTCAGTTTCAGGCTGAAAGGACAGAGGAGAAAAAGAAATAAAATCACTGCCTGGCTACCATTGCCAACATTCATTGAAGGGGAGTGACAGTTCCAAGGCATTAAGAGCAGAACATTAAGGAGATCAAACACTCCACAGCTGGTAGCAATGACAGACTTGACTTTTATCACAAAGTCACTAATGTGGCTCCAGAGCTGTGAAATGGCTGGGCACCATCACCTGCCAACTTCACACCACATTTGAGTGTTTTCCATGAAGAAAGCCAGGATTTGGCCAGATAAATAGACCAGGAAAGGAGGTGTTTGAACAGTAATGACCCACTGCATGGTAATCACCTATTGCTGAAGCCCATCTTCATGACAAGGGTGTATTCATGGCTCTGTGGGCTATTTAATCTACTTTTAAAAGGTAAGTTTCTCAGTATGGGCCGGTTTGATTTAGAGTGAAGCATGTACTTATAACCTGGGAAACTTAACAACAGCAGTTTGATGAATTCTCAACAGCAACATCATAATAAAAGTGAAAACAAACTTGAGGAAGGAGGAAAAATTACAAACAATAACAGTGATTTTTTTGAAGGAGGCAATTAATGCAGATCCATAGTAAAGGCCACCTAGTTCCGTTGATGTTTAGCACTGCACCCAAACACCTGGGAAACAGACATTTCTGACAGTCAAAACTTTCTGTTCTGGCTTTGTCATGTAAATATTCCCAGTGTTACCCAGGAGGCAATGAGATAACTTATTTCTCTAGAACTGTGCACAGCTAATGAATTATAGGTACAGAGCGTACAGTCCCAGATTGCTTTGGGTTGGAAGGGACCTTAAAGATCATCCAGTCCCAACCCCCTGCATGGGCAGGGACACCTCCCATCCGCCCAGGCTGCTCCAAGCCCCATCCAACCTGCCCTTCAACACTGCCAGGGATGGGGCAGCCACAGCTTCCCTGGGCAACCTGGGCCAGGGTCTCACAGGAAAGAATTTCTTCCTAATATCGTATCTAAATCTCCCCTCTTTTACTTTAAAACTGTTACTCCTTGTCCTGTCACTACATGCCTTTAAGAAGTCCCTCTCCAACTTTCTTGTCAGTATGAAGGGCCTGCATCATCAAACTTTTGCTTGTGTAAAATGTCTATAATCATGGAAGAAGTTCTGCTGACTTTTTTGCATAGGAGAACAGGAGGGACAAACGTCTGTGTTTAGACTTTTCTCCTTGTCGTGTCTTTTAATTAACAATCCAGACCTCTCCATGGTGTGCTCAGTTAGACCACGGAGTAGCAGGTTCTGGGTTTATTCATCCTTGACCTGCCAGACTTTCCTCTTCCTTTGTATTTGTCTATCGTTTCTTTGGGCCCTGGCGGGGCAGCGGGGCTGTCACCCAGCTCAGAGCCCCGGGCCTGGGAAGCAGCGCCACGACCCCGACACCCCCCGGCCCTGCAGGGGACAGGACTCCAGCCTCTGCCTGCAGTAAGCTGCGGCCTTCCCCGCCCGGCCCTCAGGCCTCTTACCGGCCCTCACGCCTCTTACCGCCTCCGCGCCCCCGGTACCGGCCCGGTTGCTAAGGAAGCCCAGGAGCGTTGCTAGGGTGTGCCACGTGACGTGCCCAGCCGCCAATCGGCGGGGGCGGCGGGGG